TCTCTGAATTGCACTAGAATGAAATTAAATGGAATAAAATAAAATAAAATAAAATTAAATACGGTAGAGGCTAATATTTGAATAAAAGGAAAACAGTAAATTAGCCTACTTTTGAACCCCACAGTTTTCATGAAAATACATGTTGAGTACAAAAACAATCTTTTAATACATTCTAATCATTTTATCAAGGTATGAAATGTTTTAAGAACACTCATAACTGTTTTTTAACATACATATTCCAATGTAACAGATTCAACTACAACCAGGCAAATGCACTGGGCTTTAAAGAAGAATTAAAACTTCATTAACATTCATTGTACATACCCAGTCCTTGCACGTGTCCCAAAACGTGATCAAACCCGATCCACCTCACACATGCAATCCATAAATGTCCTTAAAAACGATCCGTGAAACATTTATTATTAACATACTATGCTCACATACACATGTTATGAAATTCGTTCACAACTTCAAATTCGTACATTCAAAAAATGTAAATTTACCTCGCCAAATTCAGAATAATGGCACCAAACCCACAGCACTAGCTTGCGTTTGCTGCTCTGCTCATACTGAAATCCACGCACATGTATTACATGCTGGAGCGCCGTAAAGCAAGTGTTGCAAACCCAGTATCTTAAAGGACCCACGCCCAATTTATGCTCAACGTTAAGTTTTGTTAATTTTCTCAATTTGGCTACACATATATCAAACTAGGCTATATGTTATTAAATTGTACATAGGCTATATATCAGATTATTTTATTTACAAGTTTCATGTTTGTGTTTATCCCGTTTTTTCCCCCGTTGCATCTGAAAATTACTTTCAGAAACATTTTTTTTTTCAAAGCATTATTTTTATAAATAATGTAAATAAATTATTTTATTGTCTACTAATTATCAAAAATCACAGTTCTGTCTCTCCAACTCAATGTATTTAAATTGCCCGCTATGAACTTCCTGGAACTATTTCATATTTCAGCAATCGTGTTGCCAGGGTCAAAGAAATCTGCCTTAAGGCCTTCAGAATCCACAGTGCAGGCGTCTGTTAGCTTAACTCAATGGCAATGAAACCGTTGCTTTAACCAATCAGATTTCGAGTTGGCAACACCAGGGGCAAGTTCAAGCTCAAACCGGTGTGCACCGTATTGCTACGGTTTCTGGTTTGAACGACATGTTTCCTGGAAACGGTGTACAACGGGGTTT